CGCGCAACGCCATGCTGGCATGGCACGTTTATAGACATACAATTGCAATAACATTAAGTCGATTTGTCGGCATGGCGTGTCTTATAAAAGCACCTTATTTCTTCTTTTCACATGTGGGTCCTGGTGCGTGCTGTACTGGTGATCCATCCCCCTAAAGTATGTTTCTCTTAAGTCCATCCATTATATGTTTTCTAAGTACTGACACAGTTTCTTTCACTGCCAATAGCTTTTTAACGAGTACCTTTTAGATGTTTGGGTTAGGGGTAGTATAGTTTAATCTGTGACAGTTGCAGCTCCATATCAGTGTTATGACTTTTGCAGCATTTTGTTTATTGACAATACAAAATGTTGGTTTCCATAAAGTTTTTAAACCTATAGGTCAGAAGAAAAGTGGAATGTAACATTTCTGTTCATGTTTACTCCCCTACTGCTGCATGCATATTCTAAAACCAAGTGATCCCTCCTTGACATCTCGGCCAGCTCATGTTTGTAAATGAGAACGTTTTCTCAACCATTTTATCTGGTGAAATAAAGGTGGAAAATGTTTCCATGTTAACTAAGATTTCAAAAGATACTGGATTGATGTTCATCTTGTTGCTAATTTTGTCTCTGCTAACTTGTCATCTTTACAGCTAGCAGAGCGGCCAGGTGCCAGGAAATATGAAAACATTGTGCCATTTTTAAAAATAACTGCTTTAAAAAGTCTCCCTTTTCACAAGTTTATTTTTATCTCATTAGTTTGATCATGTCTATTTTTATTCTGGATTTTACCTTCCTGTTCTCCTTCAGCTCCTGTCGCTCTCATCTTGGCTGCTCTCGTTTCACAGGGAATGTTCAAAGCCATCAGTGGGACATTAAATGAAAGACATCATTTGAATTTCAAAGGCCTGATTGAACATGTTGCTTCTATCAGAAATGTAAAAATCCTCCTGACTAGAAAGTGTTCTCAGAATTACTCCTTTGTTTGCTCCCTCCTCTACCAACTGGGCAAACAACCCATTTTTTGGATAGAGCAGGTAGCCAGATCTGTTTAAAAACAGCTCTAAACTTCACACATGGCTAGCTGCTGCTCTGATTATACCCAAACATGTATTACGCGACAAGCAGCATGAGTTTAGCTTGTCTCATTTAGACTCCTTATTCACATCTGTGCATTTTCTCTATTTTGTAGAAAAAAGTCTTAAATTGTGACATTGCCAGTGCACCCTGGGGAGAATAAAATGACTCATAAAACCACAAATCTGGAGCTTCTGCTTAGGCCCCACTGACGAGACAAACGACACCAATGAGCAGCAGACAGCCTCCAGTTGTCAGTGCTAGGAGCTAATTAGCCATCACTAATGCGAAGCAGCTTCCATTTTTACCTTACTTTGATTTACAGAGCCTGTCTTCTTTAATCTCCATGAAGACAATGTGCTCTTTAACAACTGGAAGGGTCTGACTAAACAATGTCATAAAATAGCACTTAGGGCTACTTAGCAAGCTAGCAAAAGTCGCTACATGGAGGAGAGTTTGAGGTGTAAAGTCATGGAGTGAATTACCCTGCGCGCCATCTGGACCTTCTTTAAAACATGTTAGGCCTGAAGCTGATGTTCTTTAGCGTACCCTTTCAAAAGCTCCATGTTTTCATATTTCTACATAAAATTGTACAAATGCTTTTTTTACAAGGGGTAATTTTGTGATCAGTGAAAGTAAAAACCTTTAGGGATGAGAAGAACGTTTGTCAAGATAAAAATCACAAGACACTTCACAAGTGAATGTGGCTCTATGGTTCCCCAATGGGTTGCAGGTTCAAACCCTAGGCTATGTCAGTTGTGTCAGCCATTGTGCCTTTAGGCATGACACTTTACCCACCTTACCAGCTGGTGGTGATTGAAAGAACAGGTGATGCCTGTGTACAGCAGCCTTGTGTAGCGATAAATATGAATTTACATCTATATTTATCAAATGTGGTGGGGACTTAGCTTGTCTTCATCGTTTATAATTTTATATTAAATAACTCGGGGCACCACCCAGTTTTGTCTGTGTGAACTGGGACACTGGATTTAATATTTATTTTCTTCTCAATGTAATCATTCTCAAAATTAACACCATATTTTAATCCAAAGGATGAATTCTTGACAGAATGCGCCGATTATTACCGAGAATTGCCAGACTATGATCAGGCGTTATTCACGTTTTGTGAATTTATTACAAAATCAGTTAATACATTGACAAAAGGACCAAACACAGATTATAGTTTCATGCATGGAATTAAGAAAATTGTTAACCCAAAGCTTTATGGCAGTGATAGGAATTAACTGATCCGTAATGAAAGTGGAAATTCGGTGACATCAGGATTATAGAAAATTTTAGGAATGACTTCACTAAGAACAAGTGAGCGTGTGTGTGTGTGTGTGTGTGTGTGTGTGTGTGTGTTCCTACACTGTAACCCTGAATAATTTCACTGAACTCAAAATTCATGAGGAAACTGATTGCCTAACACTTTTTAAGTTAACTTATCTAAAAACTATGTCTATCATAACCTAAAAAATATGACCTGAATAAAATTAAAGCATTTAACTACCTCCAACCTATAACTTGACACTTAAGCAACTTACAAAGTTTAATTTCACTAAACTTGCATATTTTATTTTATTTGAACTTTATTACATGTTTTTACTAACTTGAATATTATAACTTATATGAACTGTAAATTGACTAATAAAACCCTAACCGAAATAAGTTGAATTAACTTAAAAATGACAATGTGGCAGGCTGGTGAAGGCAGTAACTAACACCAGATCATGACTCACACACCCATACATGCTAACAGCCAATGAAAGTGGAACACTCAAAGTCAAGTCAAGAGCATCTGGTGTGAAAAACCACAGTATTAATAAAAATGGGACAGCAAAGCGGCCCAGCATTACTTTGACCAACCTCTTCACTTATGGGGCCAACATGATACAAAAAGTAACACCACATTTGCAACATTGAATGAAATATTAAAGAGCGGGTCAAGTGTGCCTCAGAGTCCTTCTCCACCTACGTATCAATTTTAAAAACTGCAACATTAGTAGGCGTTGCCTGGCGGACCGAGAGGGCGGAGCCGCGGCAGTGACGAAGATGGATGGGTAACAAGACGATGCTAGCTCCCTTCACTCTGAGTAGTCATTAGAAGTGGAGGACATTTCTCCCCCTCCTTACCCAGACACTCGAGAAGAAAGGAACCAAGTTTATTTGGAGGGGACAAGCAGACCTGAGCCTTATTGTTTTGAGCTTGTGAGTTGCCTGAAACTACCGGAACCGACCCAACAGAACCAGCTCTGAATGGTAAGTAGCCGTTAGCCATAGCATTAGATTAGCTGCAGGGTTTGGCTCCACGGCTCTAGAGAGCTAGTATTCTAGCCTGGCAAGCCAGACTAAATAATTGTATTATTTAGTCTGGCAATGCTCTATTGACGGCTCTCGGTTGTGGGGCGGGTTCTACCGTTTTCTTTCAAATGATCTCCGCATTCCACTGGACAATAAATGTGACATACTGTTGTTTCACTCTGTTGCATCATCCCATCCACCAGGCATATAGAGTGCCCTGATTGGCCCACAAAGCGGATAAAGCTCTGTGATTTGTTCACTAAGCGGATAGAGCACTATGATTGGCCCACCATTATAGACCAATCACAGCTCTTTATGTGTTTGAAACCCCTCTAGAGAGCTGTGATTGGCCAGCCAGAATCCTGTTGGGGCTGCAGAGGTTCCAGTGGAGCATGCCTAGACCAAACTTTGCAAAGCAAGAATTTGGTCTAGTTCACTAGGCTACTAGTATTCAGCATGTTTTAGAGATTTGTCTGCTTCAGCACACCTGGTTTTAATCAGCAACAAATAGCTGAGCTGCTTAACAGCTAATCTAACCTGTTAAAGCAGGAAAACCACTGAAACATGCTGGATAGCAGCTCTCCAGGAGCCCTGGGGTCAAGTTAGTCTGCTGCATAGAAAGTTATGAAAATACCCCATGAGAAAATTATTCTGTAATGTGTTCAGCCCACTAAAACTGCCCTGATTTCATTATTTATTTACTGATACCAGCTGCTCTCTTGGTTGTAGGTGATCCTCTGGTGTCTGCAGCTGGTCTCCTCTGCTGGTGTCGTCAGGATCAGGAGCTTCCAGAAGAATGTGCCTTTCAATGACTCTTTCCCCCTTATTTGTTATATTATTTAAATACATCTCAATTTATATATTTCCTGTTTTTGTTCATGTCCATAAATACTTAAACATGCTTGAAATTAAAATGAGCTTTTAACAGTGAGGTGCTAGTTTAATTCATCACAATAGAGCTAGTTAAACATGCAACAATGTGATAATTCAATTAATGCAATTTATAAATATCCATTAAAATATCAAAACTGGAATCAAAATGAGACATTTGGCAGCACAAAAAACTTGTCAAACACAATATTTATTATAATAATTGTAGGCAGAAAGGAGACAGAGCTGATGGAGGTTCTCAGTCATCGAAGGATGACTGAAGGCTTTCCAGGAACAGGAGATGTGGTGTTGTCTCTTCTCTCTCTATTCTGCCAGATGAGCTGATAGTTTACAGCTGTGTGAGGACGTCCTCATGCTGTCATAACCAGATGACAGGAGTCATCAGGTGATCAGCCAGGTTAATGATGAGATGCAGAAAGAAAACAAATCATGCAGAAAGAAAACAAATCCAGGACAGTGTACAGTAATAACAATAATATGTGGTGTTGTGGTGTTGCTCACCTTATGTGCTGTTAGTGGTGGTCAGAGGGGCCAACGGCGCCAAATGGCAGCCTCGCCTCTGTCAGACCTCCCCAGGGCGGCTGTGGCTACAAGTAGCTTACCATCACTAGCAGTGTGTGAATGTGAGAGTGTGTGAAAGCGTCTTTGGGGGTCTTGAAAAGCGCTATATAAATTCAATGCATTATTATTATTATTATTATTATTATTATTATTATTATAGAGTATTAACGTGTGCCTGCCTCATGGTGTAGAGTCCATATTTTGCTGAGTGTCCTGCAATGATGCAGGTTATTAGTTAATTTACTTTTGATAGCAAAGAACAAAATATTTAATGTAAAAGTTATTTACCAGGTGAATCAGCTCACACGTCACCAGTGTCACAGGGGCAGAGTCAGTAGCCTCCTTCATGATGTCATGATGTAATCACATACTTATTTAATTGTTAATATCTTAAAAATTCTGAAATGTTTAATTTTTTTTTTTACCTTGAACAGTTCACTGAGCTTGCACTGTCACTGAGGTGGAAGCTGGAATCAACAGCAGACACCTCACATCTTGGTCTTTTCAGGGGTGTGGACGCTGCTCTGGGACTTTCTGGAAGATGAATTTCCGTCATGGTCCCCGTGTCACAAGACACACTGAGGCTGTGAGCTCTATTCTGGGTGGCTATGTAAAAACAAAGAAGGAGCACATTTATAAATGTTTAAAAGAGCATAAAATCACGTGTAACAATAATCTGTAAAACAAATTAAAACTAGAAGGTGATAATAAAATGTTTACATAGACGATTATTCAAAATAATTCACCTTTGCTTCACGTCAGCCTGGACAAGTGCATTCTTGCAGACTTCTAAATCAGTCTGACAGCCAATGTCTTGGGTAGATTTAGCCTGAAAAAAATAATAGAAGCACATTGTTGTTGGAGTTTATAAAGTTAGATAAAATACAAAAGAAACTGTCCCATATAGGCGCTTTATAACATTCCTAGTGTGTGATTGTTATTATAACGTAAAAATCAGTCACATATGATGTGGAGAGCCTGAAATGCGACCTCCTGAACAGAATTCCTCACGGAACCAGGTCACAAGCTGGATTTCACGCTGTAATGCTGTCTGTCAACTGGTGCTGTGTTAGTTCGAGTCACTGTTAGCAGAATTACCGACTGACACAAAAACAACCCGAATTTTCTCCGAGCCTGACAGTAATAGTCATGTGGACCATATCGTCGGCCAGGGCTTCGAGATATGTTCAGATTCGCCGCTGATTCTAACCTTACATCCCGTTCCACATTTTGTGAACTTGACAACTCAGCCCGAAGGCAGTGCAGACTGATATTAGCTAAATGAAGTGAACCACGCCTCTCAAACTTTGCATTTAGGTAGGGAATTGTCTTTAGAAGATGTTAAAATTTTTATTTAGCTTACTCACCTCAGACTGGAGCCCGCCATGGTGGGGGAGCAGAGTCGGTGGGCTGCATCTAAATCGCGGAAGAGCCACGGTGGGCACAGCCTCCCTCTTCAACCGGAGACATGCAGAACAACCCAGTTCAAACTCCATCATGTTGGCGAAGGGATCACAGGTAAAATGCTGGTTGCAAACTACAGCACCAGGCAGGAGCTGACTTTTCCAGACACCGATTGTGCGCAATCACTGGCGCCTAATTTCTAAGTCCAGCGGAAAGTAGTGCAACCCCACAGGGCCACCGAACCCACAACACTACACCTTCTCACCATACTAACACGATATGGAACACTAAACCCGAACTACTTTCCTAATAACACTAACAGCTAAACACTAACTAAACTACAATATCCAACAGCCAAGCTAACACTAAATAAGTATGTATAACACTAAAAGCTATGCTAAAGATTAGGATATGCTAATGCTGAACTGCCGCTAACCATCCTACACTCGCTTGCAAATCCAACTCCCAACTCGCCACAACGCGTGGCCGAGACTCTCAATGCTTTACAACTTTGACACAGAGCTGCTACGTAGTACTCTACTGGTTTACGTAGTATCTTTCTCTTTAGCCATTGGCTAAAGTGTATTCAAAATGATTCAAACTCTATGTTTTAAGCTGAAGGTGGCGCTATACTGTGGTATTTAGGCAGAATTTTTAAAGAAAATGCACCGAAATGCTAAAATAATGAATACACACATTTAAAACACTATTAGACACTCATTTATACAGTTCATCAGAAAAAAAATAAGTAATTTAGACGTTACTTGCTCTTTAACTGAGAACAACAATCCTCCACAATAAACATGCATAAACACCTTAAAATAGAGCTAAATAACTGAAAACACGACTACCCACAATGCATCGTGGCCAGCAGTTGTTTATTGTTCCTGAAATCCACCAAAATTGCTAGTTCATGGTTGTTTTTTCCCAATAAATCCACAAATCTTTAAAAAAAATATACAAGTCTGTTTATCAGAAACACTTTCGGGTGGACGTAAAGATGAATGGAATAATATAGAAACATAAAATAATAAATCAATATTTTATTAGTTATTATTACTCATTCAAGTTAAGTTGCTCTTTTTGGATTAATTTAAGTTATTCTTACTTAAAAAAGATATAGTTCAGATTAATTAAAATGTTTCAGTTCTATGTAATTAAAACAAGGAATAACTCAACACATTTAAGTTCTAAAAACATTTTTTATATTAAGAGTTTCGTCTACTCAATATATTTGATTATTTAGAATTTTTGGGTTTACAGTGTATGTGTATAGGAGTGCAGGAGTGTGTGTGTGTGTGTGTGTGTGTGTGTGTGTGTGTGTGTGTGTGTGTGTGTGTGTGTGTGTGTGTGTGTGTGTGTGTGTGTGTGTGTGTGTGTGTGTGTGTGTGTGTGAATAAGGATTCGTGTGCAGCAGAGAAAGAAGATAAATCTTGAGAGATAATGAGAATTTGGATCGAAAATAATAAGCCATAAAAGTTTAAGTCTGAATTCACTAATTGGGCTTAGCAGGAAAAGTCAGCCAGATGAAAATGATTCACAGACCTGCTTTCCGTCACCAGAGATGGCCAAAGGCTGTGGTAAGCCTGAGTCCCCATGGGGTGAAGCCTTCAGGGACTGTAGGAATTTTGGCCTCCGAGTTGGTCAACGGGTGTCTGTGAATTGGAGAATTATGCGTTCCTCCACCGTGGCTTGACTTTAAGGTCCTCAACTCAGCTGCACCGAAACGTGGAATTCAGAGCGCAAGTCCAGATTCACAAACGGTGCTGAATCAGGAGAACTGATCCAAATTGCTTTCAACTCTTAATGCATGAACTTGTCTTGAACACGTCAACTCAACTTCCGGTTGCGCGTGGGACGTCAAAACAAAACAAACGGAGTTGCTTCTAAGTTTTATCGTAACTTTTGAGAGCTAATTACTTTAAAGAGCCGGGTTCTGCTGGGCCAGATGGAAAACAGCCCACAGGGCAATGAGCTTAAGGCGACCTTTGTTCTTAAACTGCCGCCACAAGGTTCGGATGGGTGCTTATATAACCTTTTGGGCATGCCCACCTGTATCTTACTCAAAAACCACTGGAGGGCACTGTGGCTCTTCCAAATAAACTCTACCTTCTCCAAGATGGAAAAATCCATGATCACAATTTAACACAGTTATTCATATGAAACCTCAAAAAGTACTTTAGCATCAAAGTATTACTTTAAATGGGAAAGAATAAAATCCATGTCTTAAAACTGAACAGTTTTACCGTTAGCATGAATTTTAACTGGAGAAACACCAAATGACAGAGGTTTAACATAAAAGAAAACACAACACAAACAGTTTAAGTCTGTGGCTGATAAGATCTTAACTTAGAGCACCTTGATTTCTATTTTAAGGGTGAACAACCTAAAAACCTTCTTTGATTATAGATAAACAGAAAAACACCAAGGCTTTGTTAAAAGCGAGATCCTGGAATCTTCCAGAATGACCCTTGAGGAGTTTTACGAGCACCCGGCCTGGGAGGGAAGAGTCAGTTATTGGCAGATTGAGGTAAGACAGACCAAGTCCTGATAATGTCTGGCTTAACAAGTCACTTGGTAAAATTTACGTTCCTGGGAGAAAAATGTAGGAGTTAACCAGAATGCCCAACTGCGGGCCAGTTTCAAATTCCCCTCTTTATTTCCTTCTGCGGAATGTGGAAGAACCCTTTATGCGACAATGTTATGGTTCTTTTCCGTGTAAATCCATACAAAGTTTAACCTGAGGGTAAAAAATGTGGATTACCGCTACACTTGTCTCTGTCAATAGGTTCCATTACCGGAACTTCAGGGTGTTGAACAAGAGAGTGGAGGGCTCCTCTGATTGGAGGTAATATGTGCAGACACTGGGGTTCATGAAGAAATTACCTAAAACTCCTTTGTTGGCCATGCATTCTAAAGATAAGTGTACATTGCGGATCACTGACACAGTAGCCACATTTGTTTCCATAGAAAAAGCCACAACAGTCACAGTAGTGTGAAAGTGCCTTGTTTGTTTGGCAAATGAGCTGCAATACCCACATTTTGCCACAGGATGCCATCCTCACATCTTTCTTACATTATGCACCTTTAAAAGCTGGGACATGAACATCCGGTCTACTTTGTGATTCAGATTATGAGATAGACTAGAGTTAAATTCTGAAATCAGCTGTTCCTGTCATTTTAGACAGTGTCATGCAGACCGTGACAGACAGAAGAAAATGTGAACTTGTACCTAGACGGAAAAGTCAGCACAGAGAAAATCAACTAAAACAACACATTTTATATTTTGTTCTGCTGGATTTTTGTTGGCAGCAGAACAGTTTTGGTTTCACATCTGATGTAAAATATTCAGCGATGTGTTGGAATTCTGACTGTCAAATATAAAAAAACTTTCATTGCATTTCATTACTTATGCAAAGCATGCTAATATAAGTGGAGTATAGAGCCTGCAACATGAAATGACATTGTGTGTACCTCATTATTCTCACTTTCTTGCAGGAGAAACCTTGCATCAGGGGAATTAATTTGCAGAACCAAAGGAAGGAAAGGATGACACGGGACGTGTAGCTCGCCCACACAGACTCAGACTTTGCTCCTGACTGAGGTCCTGAAATGAAGGAAGGAGTGTTTGACAGGATGAGGAAGGGTAGAGATGAGATCCCGCCATCCCAGCCAAGGTGCTGTCACAGTTCCTCTTTTGTTTTTACTCAGATTCATCCTTGTAGCATCCTCCCATCTCCAATTTTAATTTAGTTCACTTTATTTGTGTTTGTACTCAGATCTGTCAACACTGATGATAAGTCAGTAATGGGAGGCTCATTCAAGACAGATAAAACCAGCAAGCCTTTCGAGATCTTCTGGTACATGATTAACATTTGCTGAGAATTCAGATTTTGTGCTGCATTAGTTGGCTAGAGGTGTTAAATCTCTCATGTGTGCTGTAGCCTGTGACTGCAGCCTTCAAATAATCAACATGATTATTCTGTTTTGCACTTGATTTAGTAAATTAAGAGGCATTTACTCTTCTCTTCTCTTTGTGAAGCAACTTGTTTGATGACAAGTAATAAAACAACATTTGTTACTTTGTTCAGCCTCAGTTTTCCACCGGCAGTAGTCCAACAGCCCCAGCTGAATACTAATTGCTGTTTATCAGAGTCGTTGGCGTGCCAGAGGCCAAAAAGCACCACAAGTAGCCTGTTTGTCTTCTGCTCAGTCGGGCCAAAGGAACTACAGAACCACTCACTTGAACTGAAACTGAGCACTGTCAAAACATACAACTGCATATTTTTGTGTTATCTTTACCTCTGTGGTGGGGGTAACCCTAACCCTAACCAGAAGCGGAAAACACTGTAAAGAAATCAGCTATAATGAGTCATTGCAGCAGAGAAAACCATATAATGGACTGGGAACACACAAGGATCATCACAACAGAACAACAAAAACTCAAATGATGGATTAAAGAAGCAATAGAGATTAGGAGACACGGACCTACTGTAACACCATGAACAGAAATGAAGTATACACTGAATCACTTATGGGACATGGTCATCATCAAAGAGGGCGTGGGCAGTAGAGGGCGACATTGTCCTCTACTGCTTGCTAACAAAACAGCAAGGAAGTGACATCACCAGCACTCTGAGGAAGGCACCAGCGAGAGTGAAAGCTGTCAGTGAAAAAGGTAAAACAACAACCTTCTGTTAACTATTAAGAACACCAAGTCTTTAACTTTGCCTTTTTATTTTATCTTTTGCTTCCCGGCCTGGGATCTTGCATGGAGTTTGCATGTTCTCCCTGTGCATGCGTGGGTTCTGTCCGAGTACTCTAGCTTCCTCCCACAGTCCAAAAACATGACTGTTAGGTTGATTGGTCTGTCTAAATTGTACCTAGGTGTGAATGTGTGTGTGTATGATTGCTTGTCCTGTGTGTCTCTGTGTTGCCCTGTGATGGACTGGCACCTGGTGTACCCCGCCTGATTGCCCGTTGGAGATAGCCACCAGCCACCACCCCCCCCCCCCCGCGACCTTGCGTGGACAAGTGGGTTCAGAAGATGGATGGATGGATGGCATCTCATTTTTTTTGTGTATCTAAATTTGATTTTAAAGTCTGTGGTTTTATGCTGTCGTGTTGATTTTAATGTTTTGTGTTCTTGCTGTTCTTACACTTGAAAGTGAAAACAAAGCTGTGCTGCCTTGCATAAATGAATCACGGTTTTATTTTTATTCACAGTTAAATTAAATAAACATGTAATATATAAGAATTGGCTACACTTTTGAATTTAACAGTAAGCTAAAAACGCTAAACATGAACAGATGCCTTTAAATAGTGATAATTAATTCTCTTTATTTCATTTAAAATATATAAAGTGCTAACTAGATATATTTGTGTGTGTGTGTGTGTGTGTGTGTGTGTGTGTGTGTGTGTGTGTGTGTGTGTGTGTGTGTGTGTGTGTGTGTGTGTATAAATTAAACACACACACACACAAACACAAGAAGAAGAAGAAGAAAATATCATTTCTATAGCGCCTCTCATGATAAAAATCATGAGGCGCTTCACAAAAACAAAAAAATGTTAAAATATAAAAAAGCACTTAGAAAATGTTTAAAATATATTTAAAATGAGCAAAAATAGGCAATTGGGATTTAAAAGAAAAAATGTTAAGAAAGAGATAGAGTGAATAGGAAAGAGGGAAATCAGTGGATCCTGAGGAAGGTGGAATAGGTGGGGAGAGCAGAATAAAGAGAGAGTGGTGAAGAAGGTCATACAAAAGCCAGCTTGAACAAGTGAGTCTTCAGCTGCTTTTTAAAGGAGACCACTGAGTCCACTGATCTCAGGCTCAGGGGGAGAGAGTTCCAGAGTCTGGGGGCCACAGCAGCAAATGATCTGTCACCTTTGGTCTTTAGCCTGGTGCTGCACAACCAGTAGGCTTTGATCACTGGACCTCAGTGACCTGCTGGGGGTGTAGGGACTAAGAAGATCACCAATGTAAGATGGTGCTTGTCCATGTAAGGCCCTATAGACCAGAACCAGGATCTTGAAATGAACCCTGAAGTTGACTGGCAGCCAGTGAAGCTGGAGGAGAAGCGGGGTGATGTGGGTGTGTTTGGAGAACTTGGTCAGAAGCCGAGCACAGGCATTCTGAACCACCTGTAGACGGTTCAGGAAGGTTCTGCTCAGACACGTGAAAAGAGAGTTACAGTAGTCTAAGCGTGAGGAGATGAAGGTGTGGAGAACTGTCTCAAGTTCAGAGCGAGACAGAATGGGACTCAGCTTAACAATGTTCCTGAGATTGAAGAAGGAAGAGCGAATAAGAGAACTGACATGAGAATCCAGGGTGAGAGCTAGGTCAAAGATCACGCCAAGATTCCTGACAGAAGGTTTGGTGTGGGAAGCAAGCTGACCAAGAGAGTCTCTGACTTTGGGAACCAGCTTGTCTGGGGCACAGATGAGGATCTCAGTCTTATCTTCATTCAGCTGAAGAAAGCTCCCAGCCATCCAGGTTTTGATAGAGTCTAAGCAGGTGTGTAACAGCTGCAGCTTAGACATCTCATGGGGCTTAAAGGAGATGTACAGTTGGATGTCATCTGCATAAAGATGGTAGGAGATTCCTTTGAAGGAACTCAGGATGTGCTGAAGAGGAAGCAGAGGAGGAAGAGCAGAGGCCCCAGCACAGAACCTTGTGGGACACCATGGGTAAGAGAGGTGGTGGAGGACCTAAACTTGGAGACGGCCACAGAAAAGGAGCGCTCAGAGAGATAAGAGGAGAACCACTGCAGAGCAGATCCTGATAGGCCTACCCAGTCTCTCAGCCTCTCCAGTAGCAGGTGATGGTCAATGGTGTCAAAGGCTGCAGTCAGGTCCAGCAGGACCAGAACAGAACAGTCCCCTGCATCACTGTGAGTCAGAAGGTCATCAGAGACCCTAAGAAGAGCTGTTTCAGTAGAATGAGCTCTACGAAAACCTGACTGTAAGCAATCATAGATGTTATGTTCAAGAGCAGCTGTGAGTTGTTTAGCCACAACCTTTTCCAAGATCTTGGAGATGAACAGAAGTTTAGAGATGGGTCTGAAGCTGCTATGGAGAGAGGGGTTAAGACTCGGTTTTGTAAGAAGCAGGTGGATTACAGCGTTCTTAAAGTAAGTAGGGACCTGACCAGAGACCAGAGAAGCATTAATTATAGAGAGCACGCTGGGACCGATGGACTGAAAAGCACTTTTAAACAAAGATGAGGGTAAGATGTTGAGGGGGCAAGCAGAGGTCTTCATAGAGTTAACTAGTTTGGTTAACTCAGGAAAAGAAACAGGGGCAAAGCTAGCTAGGATGATGGGCCTGGTTGGAGTCGGGAGAGGCAGCGATAAGGCTGAAGGAGAGATGCTAGATCTAACCTTATTGACTTTGTCCACAAAGAAAGACAGAACGTTCTCACAGTCTGCAACAGAGTGGATGGAGACTGTAGGAGAGGCAGGACAGACCATGCTGCTGATGGTGTTAAACAGCACCTTGGGGTTCCCTTAGCTCTGAGACACCAGGTTGGAGAAATAGGAAACCCTAGCATCTCTGACTGCAGAGTTAAAGGATGTCAGAAGATCCTTTAGGTGCAGCAGATGGACGTGGAGATGGGTATTCTTCCACAAACGCTCAATTTTTCTGCATTGGCGCTTCAGGCTGCGAAGGCTGTCATTAAACCAGGGAGTAGGGTTCACTGCAGGAACTGATCTGGTTTTGACAGGACAGATGTTGTCCAGAATGGAGAGGCAGTGCTCGTTAAACTGAGAAGTTAAGGAATCTGGGTCGTTATCAGAAGAATAGGGTGGATAAAAAGCAGCAGAAAAATTGCTAGCTGTGCTCTCATTAAGAAAACGAGAACTAACCATACAGCGAGCAGGAGGTGGGGACGCAGAAACTGTTAAAGAAAATGCAATAGTTGTCTGAAATATAAATGTCCTCAGGACAAACACTGTCAGCATTTAGACCCAGGGTAAAAACAAGGTCTAGAGTGTGCCTCCTGGTGTGTGTGGGGGGCCAGAAACATGCTGGGTAAAGCTGAAGGAGCCCATAAGGCTGGAGAAATTCATGGCAAAGTGATCAGAGGGATCATCAACGTGGATGTTAAAATCACCAACAATCACCAGTCTGGACAGCTTCACAGTGGAGGATAGAAAGTCGCTAAACTCCTGAAGGAAAGAACTGTTTGGACCAGGTGGACGATAGACCACAGCACAGTAAAACGGGTCCTTACGCCCGACTTTAATCAGTTGCAGTTCAAAGGAAGCAAAGTGACCAGAAGTTGTAGAGCTACATGGAAGATGGTCTCTGAAAACAACATCTTGGCCTCCACCACGACCAGAACCCCGGGGCTGGCTACACACACACACACACACTGTTAGGACCTCTGTGTTCCTGGGCTCCATTTTAACCACCGCACCAAGGACAGCTCCTTGCTCCGGCCCCGCTGAGACAGGATCATGGTGACAGGATCAGCACCATGGAGAGAGGCACGCCGAGACGCACCCTTTCTGCCGGCCCGCTGCCACCAGCTGGAAACAATCCGCGCTCATCAGGGCTTCTTATAAAGGAAGACGCGGCTAAAGAGAAGGGGAGCGGCTAAAGAGAAGAGGGGGCGGTTGAGAAGGTGAATGGAGTTGAGAAGGAGAGTGGTGCAAGGTCGTCGAGGAGTTTCCAGAGAGAGTTCGATGAGAAGTCGGTGAGAGGTTACCAACAGCGCGCTTGTGGGGAAAAGGACGGAGATCGAGCCGACCGAGAAAGACGGAAAGGAAGAAGAGCCGGCAGAGACACAACAGAGATCGAGCACACGAGAGGAGCAGCAGACGAACGAGAGCGCCGAGCAGAATTAAGAAGCGGTGCTCCGGAAGAGGGTTACATCTGGTACATACACCGTCCGTGGATTACGCCCACCAAGAAAAGACAGACAACACGGGGATCTATTCCGGAAGAGAACCATCCGCTTCCAGAGACAGAGAGAGAGAGAACGGGAGAGCGTGACACGCCGGCCACGTCAGGAGCAGCACAGGACCAGAAGGAGAACTCATACCCAAAAGGAGGGTATTATTCGAGCGTGGGGCTTTGCCCTTATTTTCAGTTATATTTTAAGAGACCAGTTTAACCAGACCTCTGGCTTTATTATTTCCAAGGACCAGTTTTTCACTTGCCAGAGACATTTTCAGTTTAATAAACTCCTTTTGACTTTTAGTTGTCCTCGTGTTTGCTCCCACCACACTTGTGTTGTCCCTCCTGGTAATCCTAGGCCTGGAGGGGTGTAACACACACACACACACACACACACACACACACACACACACACCACACCACACATTTATGCTTCCGAAGTGATTAGCATCACTGTCACATGACTAAACAATTACACATCATCACCCCCCCTCACCCTCTGAAACAGATACATAAATGGAAACAAGAAGGAAAAAGTATTGGTTTTTAATATTGGCCCAGTTTTACTTCTATGACAGATATGTTAAAAAATGACCAACATCTACCAAATGATGCAGATATATTGTGCATCCCTAGTAATGATGATTTTTGCGGTATGGTCAACTCTCTTTTGGATTAAAGTTTAAAGATAAATTAAATATAGTATAAAATAACTTCCATCAACAACTTCAACAAAGCACTAGTTGAATATATAGCTGAATAAAAACACTGTTCTTGCCAACTGGTGGTCCTTTTACCTATCCAAAAAAGTAGCACTAGTGGAGCAAAAATCCCCAGTTATTCTTGATATCTGGGCCCGTGAATAAATACACAATTTGCCTTTAGCATGAAGTCTTGACAATCAGACACAAACTCAGCTGCAACAGATGTCCACATCACTGTCCACCATGACAGGACTGGACACATCAATAACCTCCCAGACATGAAACATGAAGAAGAGCCTGAGCTGTACACAATCTTCCATTCTGCATAGCTTTAGTCTGTGCTTCTTTTAGAAATGAATGCACTTTTTTGTCAGA